AAATTTGTTTCTTGAATTCATAAAAAACTCTACTAAAAAATGACTTAGAAAAATAAAATTGCATGAGTATATTTTTTTTCATTATTACGTTTTTCCCATTGTTATATAAATTTGCCATGTAAAATAAACAATTTTTATTTTTGAACTTCACAAGATCTATAAAAATTGTTATACTTGACGGATAAGTCCCAAATTTCGCACAACTCGTTTTTAACATCATGAAGTTTATTAGAAAAATGAAAAAACAAAAAATTATTTTTCAGTTTTTCTAATAATATAAATAATATGTAATTACTCATAAGTTGTTATTTCAAATCTAAATATGATGGAAAAAAGTTAAAGACACATTTGGAATCAGTGTCGAAACTTCATAAAAAATTTACTAATATATTGTAGATAACAGACATTTTTTTACTATTTATTGTTTTATATAATTTTTACAAATTAAATATTTTTTAATTAGTTAAAGTACAATTAAAACAAATCTGTCGTCATCCATTAATATTTTTAAATCTTAATTATAACGATCCAGTTTGATGCGGTCTGTATCTTCAGTATCACCAGTCAATACAACTATTTGACATGTATCCCCCAGTTCGTATCCTTCGTCAATAGTCATGTTATCTTCTCGAAGTACCGTTGGCAAATTTTTATCTTCATTACTCCAATCGCAAACCAATTTTTCATAACGGTCAATAAGATCCTTATTTTCCTTTAAATCTGTAAGTTCATTACCATATATTACACAACAATCGTTCACCTCTTGAATTTGTTCATCTGTTTTACAAACATATTCATACAAAGATTTTGCAATTTTTTTAACTTTTCTCTTACTACCTAAACGTAGAATTTCTATACTCTTTTTTAATAAAAATTTTTCAAATTTACGAGTAAATTTGTTTCGAGAATCTATAATCAAAAATAATTAAAAGATTAAAAACGATAATATAATAACTATTTATTATATTACAAATATCTTCTAATCTAATATTTATTAAATATTTAGTTTGGTTAATATTCATTTTTACAGATTATGTTTACTTGAATTTTACATAAAATAACTACGGCAGCCATTTTAATATAGAAGATAAAATGTCGAGAAAATTTTTTTTTTTCACTTTATAGTACATAAAATAAACTTTAATATTATATATGTTTGAAGGACGCAGTATAACCGGAACATTTTCAAAAATTTAATTGAATAAGTTATTTTTTTGTAAAAAAGTTGCTATTTTAAATCCCCCCCAATGAGCAGATTAAGTGTTAAATTTTCAAAAAAATTATATCAAACGAAAGGGAAATATCTAAGGTTTTAGTATAAAATAAAATTATGTTGATTTATTGATTTTTTAAAAAGTTATGGAAGTTTTAAGAAATAAATGTGAAAAAAATGACAAAATTTACCGATTTTTAAATTTGTAATTTTTTTGGATAATTCCCCCATTTACGGGGAACGAGGGAATTTTTTTAAATTTTTAAGGGTAATGTCTCCAACTAGATACGATTTGTGATCTTTTGACGTATTTTTGAAAGAAATCGGTCCAGTGAAAGCTGAGAAAAAGTGGCAACAGACATAAAAAAAAAAACTTAGCACAGGGGGGTCGCGACACAGTGGTGACGTCGCATAGATGGATCAAGTATAATGATATCTGACAGTGATTAAAATAACTATAAAAATAAAAACGCTTCGATGCAAATCTTTAGATAGTGTTTAATTTTAAAAAATTAGTGTATTATTCCAAAAGCTACATGATCTGCTAGTCCTTATTAATATCTTGATTAAGATAAAGTATGTCGAATGAAAAATGATTATTAAAAAATATTATTTCTCATAAAAAAATTGTGTTGATCCATACACTTTTGAATAAGTTATAGCTTTATAAAGTTAAATATAATACAAAAAATAAAATCGAGAATTTTCACACGAAAATAGCATTCGATAGCCATTTTCGCCAAGAAGACAAGTCCAGAGGTCAAGTTTTTTTTTTTTTAATTAAAGTATATTACATTAGCTTTAATTTAAGATATATATAAAAGTGTCAGACCTTCCGGAATATTTTCAAAAGTTAAGTTGAATAAGTTAATTTTTTGTGAAAAAGTTGTCATTTTAAATCCCCCCTGTGGGCAGGTAAAGGGTCGCATATAAAAAAAAAATATATACCAAATAATAGGTAAAGACATCATGCATCTATAAAAAAAATAATTATATTGATTTGGTTATTTTTAAAAAAGTTATAGCAATTTTAAGTAAAAAAAATTGAACAAATTTCGAAAATTAGCGATTTGTAAATTTGTAATTTTTTGGGGGATTTCTCCCGTTTATGGGGAACGAGGGATTTTTTTTCAATTTTTGAGAGTAGTGTCTTCGATTAGATACGATTTGTGATCTTTTGACGTATCATTGAAAGAAATCGGTTCGATAAAATCGGCTGAGAAAAAGTGGTAACAGATACAAAAAAAATAAATAAATAAACACATCTTAGTAAAACCAATACCTTCTCAGCTTCGCATCGAAGCTAAAAAAAACACATCATAGTAAAATTAATGCCTTCTCAGCTTCGCATCGAAGCTAATAATTGCATACCAATTGAGTAGAAGTTAAAAAAATAGTTCAATTTTAATATATTAATAGTAAAGTTAACTTACTTATGATTTTATTATTATTCAAACCAGAATTTATCAAACATGTTAAGAAGTTCTGCTTTGGCTGCTGAATGGGGTCATTGGATTTTACCTGTAAATCTATTATTAGTCAATGGAATATTCAGGACAATATTTTTATAATTACAAATATGTAACATAAAGTAATAAAGCAGGAAAAAGTATGAAAAGGTCTATGTAAAATTATTTAAGTATTCGAGTTTTCTAAAATTAAAATCTGCAATGTTCAAATGTTACTATACTCTATCTGACTAATGAATAAATTTAGGTTATAAAAGAATATTAGGTGTATGAATATAGAAAAATTGAATTTAGAAACTTTTAATATAAAATTTGTAAAATAAAATGCCATTTATTCACACAATAGTATTTTTAATATAATTTAAAAATATTAATTTATAGTATTATAATTTTACTCACAAGAGTTAAAAAGAAAAAAAAACAAAAATATTTCGTAAAAATCATTTTTCTGTCAATCTTAACTTATAAAATAGTATTAGAAAAATATCTTTAACGTAATAGCCAATTGCTATTTAAATGTTTTAACCTTTTAAAATTATATTGAATCAAATAATGAATGAATATTAATAACATTTGTTCAAATGAAGCTATATCTGTACTTGTCATATATGAATTTTTTTTTAAAATTATTAAGTACATATATTAACTAACAATAATTCAACTTAAAAGTAATTTTATATTAAATATTCTTTAACATTAGATACTTAATTATATTATAATAATTGTCATTTACCAATATAAATAACATTTGTTCAAACGAATCTCAATTTGTGTTTGTGACATACGTAATATTTTATTTTAAATTCATAAATACACTTTGTGAATGTTTCAAAAAAATTATATAGTCCCTTATATATTTAAAATATGTATAATGATTGTGTTAACGCCACATCATTTTATTACTGTTCTACTTGATTGGACTGTATAATAAAAATTAAAATTCTCAACAATGTGATTTTATGTAATTAATATAAGAAAGCATTTTTAAACCATACATATAAACTCCATAAAACTTCTAATTCACTAACACTGAGCAGAGATAGCGGACAGGTTACTAACTCAATGACAATAACATGTCTTAACAGATTGGATTACTATAATTTAAATACTACTAGAACATAATAACTTTCTTAAAATATTGGTAGTTTTGAAAAATTTCATTTAAATGATAATATAATAACAAAATAATATCAAATAATAAAAATATTGGGGTAGTGGAATATACAGAGTGATTCATTAAGGATAAGACACTCGTTTACTCAGTAACTATTGAAAATTTTTAATTTTAGGTAAGGAAAATAATTTTTGATTCAAAAAACACTACAATAATATGTAGTAAAAACATGATCTTCTTCATCCCTTTAAGGTTAAAAAACATTAACCTGAGTTTTTTTAAATGAGAACACATATTTTGAATTTAATAAAATGTTTGAGTTTTTAATTTAATAACAAATGGCATTCAAATTTTTAATATAACTTTATTCGTTTATTAGATATAAACATTTTAAGTTTCAAATTTTTGAGTTAATATACATGTATAATACACTAGGGATTACAAAAACAGGTAGCGAATTGGTTTTTTATGACATTGCTGTCACAGTCACGGATTGTTTAATATCAATTAGAACTATCGATAGATATACTTTCTGTATTGTCAGTTAGTGTATTTATAAATTCACAACAATGTGCCTTACTACCATTCATAATAACAATGCTGTGCACCGGCTAATATCGATGTCATATAAAACCAATTAGCTACCTGTATTTGTAATCCCTAGTGTATTATACATGTATATTAACTCAAAAATTTGAAACTTTGAATGTTTAAATCTAATAAACGAATAAAGTTATATTAAAAATTCAAATGCCATTTACTATTAAATTAAAAACTCAAATATTGTATTAAATTCAAAATATGTGTTCCCATTTAAAAAACTAAGTTGACACCCTTACCAGGCATAGGATGTACTTAAAAAGTATTACATAATTAATAATTCAAGAATGATGTGTAACTAAAGATAATCGAAAAAAAAATGTTTAATTTATTATTATTCTGTAAGTAATTGAATGGGTTATGATAAAAAAATCAGCCTGTATTCATATAAAAAATACTAATAAAAATTTTAATATCCTGGAAAAATTTTGACAATATTTATAAGTCAACAGAAATTTTGTTAAAAAATATTTTAAAATCATATTAATAATGTAGTATACTCTAAGAAATAATCCTATATTCTCAATTATAGTAGGTAGTATTATTACCTTATATTTACTATAATAACATAAAAACCCTACCCAGCACTGTGAGGTCGCAGCAAAGTGAGGACGTGGCATAGCTGTGTGGTACAGTGTGTACAGTATAGATTTAATCTGACAGTGATTAAAATCACTATCATAAGAAACGCTTCGATGCAAATCTGTAGATAATTTTTAATATTTTGAAGGGATTTCTGAATTATTCCAAAAACAACATCAACTTCTATTTCCTTAATTACAGGCTGATTATTAGTTCTTTGATTTCTAAGTATAATATAAGAATCAATACTAATTATAGTAATTACATTTAGTATGAAATTGATAGTTTCCTATTTCCTTATTAAAATACTGATTACAAGTTTTATGATTTATAAGTGTAATATATGAATAAATATTTAAATATAGTATGAAATTGATATTTAATAATTTAGTATTGTAATTTTTACGGGGAAATTATAAAAAATTATAAAGTAGTTATTACTTTTATGGCAAAAGTATATAAAATTGTTCATTATTTATAAATAAATTTACTGGTCTATAAGAAATTTTTATCCGAAACCAAAGTATACTTTTCGAAACCCATTTTTGCGCCGATTTCAAATCTGCAATTAGAGTTTTGCACATGACCTAAATAATAACAAAACCCAGCACAGTGGGGTGGCGGCACAGTGAGGACGTAGTATAGTTGGGTCCAGTATAGATTTAATCACTATCATAAGAAACGCTTCGATGCAAATCGGTACATAGTGTTTAATTTTGGGAAATTAGTGGATAATTACAATAGCAACATGAACTTCTTTTTCCTTGATTGTATATAGATTGGTAATTTTTAGATTCAACAATATAATATATAATTTTTATAATTAATTTTTTTCAAATTATCATTGATTTTGATTTTTAATATGTTAGAATTAATCATTTTTAACCTACTTTTTTTGTTATTTAAAGTGAAAGTTTATAATAACAAAAAAAATGAATTTATTGTCATAACTTTTAATTCAACTTGTAAATTTGAAATTTCTATCAATAAATAGAAAAAAATTGTACTCAAAATATTAAATATTATAATGTGTATATATTTGGATCAATCTGTATTTTCAAATTTTTATGACTTATAGATCTAAATCATTCTGTATATTAAAAAATATAATTATTGCTTGTGCTCTTGAAAAATTCACTATTTTTATTGAAAATAAATGTAAAGGATCCTAATTAAGGTTTTAGTAGCTAAACTAGGACCTTAAATAAAAAACCTAAGTTTTAGCTTCGATGCGAAAGTAAGAAAGTATTAATTTTACAATGATGTGTTTTTTTGTGTCTGTTGCCACTTTTTCTCAGCTCTCACTGAACCAATTTTGATGAACAATATATTAAAACATCACAAATTGTATGTAGTTGAAGACATTACCCTCAAAAATTGAAAAAATTTCCCTCGTTCCTCGTAAATGAAAGAAATCTCCAAAAAAATTACAAATTAAAAAATCGCTAATTTTCGAAATTCTTTCAATTTTTTTTACTAAAAACTGCCGTAACTTTTTCAAAAATGAACATATCAATATAATTTTTGTTTTTATAGATGCTTGATGTTTTTACCTATTATTTGGTATATTTTTTTTGTAAATTTGACCTTTTTTCTGCCCACAGGGGGGGATTTAAAATGACAACTTTTTCACAAAAAATTTACTTTTTCAACATAACTTTTGAAAATGTTTCGGAAGGTCTGACACTTTTATATATATCTTAAATTAAAGCTAATGTAATATACTTTAATTTGAAAAAAAAAATTTTGGACTTTATTTTGTCTTCACGGTGAAAATGGCTACCAAATGCTATTATTGTGTGAAAATTCTCGATTTTATTATTCATATTATATTTAACTTTATAATGCTATAACTTATTGAAAAGTTTATGGATCCACACAATTTTTTTATGAGAAATAATATTTTTTAATAAACCCTTTTTCATTCGACATACTTTATCTTAATCGAGATATTAAGGAACCAGCAAATCAAGTAGCTTTTGGAATAAAACACCAATTTTTTTAAAATTAAACACTATCTAAAGATTTGCATCGAAGCGTTTATTTTTGATAGTGATTTTATTCACTGTCAGATATCATTATACATGATCCAACTATGCCACGTCACCACTGTGCCGCGACCCCACTATGCTGGGTTTTTTTTAGTTTATGTTTACAATGTACGTATAAAAGTTATCGGCTGAATCTATTTGTAATTATAAGATGATTTTTTTTATTTGAAATATACATTGTTACAATGTATAATTTAAGAATTTAATTAATAAATTACAACATGACATGTATACCAATATAACAATAAGCTATATATATACTTTTTAAATGTTTAAAAATATATCAATGTAATTTTGTATAAATAAACATAATTATTTAAAAGAAACAGAAAATAATAAACAATATTTAGTAGCAATGTGTTAGACATAAGGTTATAAATAATGTGTNTAATGTGTTAGACATAAGGTAATAAATAATGTGTAAGATTTTATAGAACAAACGGTAGAACATTATGAAATGTAGATCATTATTGACAAAAACGTAATAAATTACAATTAATAAAAATATAATGGTAGCGTCGGTGATCACTTCTTGCCTTTGAAAATACCATCAAACTTAATATAAAAAGCCCAAAATAATGAGCATTCTGACTCAGTTGTTAATCTGATGATGGTCAGTATGTTCTCAATCGGTCAATGACGCTCAGTCATTCTAAAAGGTACATGCAAGAAGTGATTCGCCGTGTCTACGTTATAATTGCATAAAAACAACATCAATTTCATTCAGAGAATTTATTGAATATAT